AAACTTACACTTGTAAAGGTCAAACTGGTTGTTTGCCTTAAAATTATATTTGACTAGCTCTTCATTTAAAACCCATCTCTTACTGATCACTAAAATTCAAGTTTCCCTCAATAGCTCAAAAATCCATTCATTGTTGGAAGCAAGGTTGTAGAGAAACATGGGTTTGTTTTAAAATTTTGTCCAAAGCAACATTTTTCTACATATGTCTCCTAAGGGGGGGGGGGGGTGGGACACGAGCAAAAATAAACTCCTGGGAATACACGCAATGGAGGAAATTATCAACAAATGAAAATATAACCTAATATATGAGAGAAGGTACTTGCAAATGACATATCCAATAAGGGGGTAATATCCAAAGTATGTAAAGAACTTACACGACTCAACAACAACAAAAAAACAAATAATCCAAATAAAAATGGACAGAGAACCTGAATAGACACTTTTCTAAAGAAGACATCCAGATGGCCAACAGACACATGAAAAGATGGTCAACATCACTAATAATCAGGGAGATGCCAATCAAAACCACAATGAGATGACACCTTACATTTACCAGATGGCTAGAATCAAAAAGATAAGAAATAGCAAATGCTGGTGAGGACGTGAAGAAAAAGAGACCCACATGCACTGTTGGTGGGAATGTAAGTTGGTGCAACAACTGTGGAAAACAGTATGGAGTTTCCTCAAAAAGTAAAAATAGAACTACTCTATGATCCAGTAAATTCCACTACTGGGCATTTACCCAAAGAAAACAAAAACACTAATTCAAAAATATATATGCACCCTTATGTTTGTTGCAGCGTTATTTACCATAACCAAGATTTGGAAGCAACGCAAGTTTTGGGTTAGATAGATGGATGGAGAAAGAAGAGGTGGGATTTATATATGCTGGAATATTACTCAGCCAAAAAAAAAAAAAAAAAAAAAAAAAGAATGAGATCTTACCATTTGCAACAGCATGGGTGGACCTAGAGGGTATTATGCCAAGTGAAATAAGCCAGAGAAAGACAAATACTATATGATTTTACTTATATGTGGAATCTAAAAAAACAAATGAAGGGGCATCTGGGTGGTTCAGTCAGTTGAGCTCCGACTCTTAATTTCAGCTCAGGTTATGATCCCAAGTTTTGTGAGATCAAGCCCCACATCAGGCTCCATGCTGAACATGAAGCCTGCTTAAGCTTCTCTCTCTCTCTCTTTCTCTCTCTTCCCCTCTCCCCCGCTTGCAGGTTCTCTCTCTCAAATAAAAAAGTAATAAAAAAATAAAAAACAAATGAATAAACTAACAAACAAAAAGCAGAAACAGACCTATAAATACAGGGAACAAACTGGTGGTTGCCAGAGAGGAAGAGGGTACACGGTTGGGCAAGATGGGTGAAGGGGAGTGGGAGATACAGGCTCCAAGTTATGGAATGAATAAGCCACAGGATGAAAGGTACAGCAGAGGGAATATAATCAGTGGTATCATAATAGTATTATATGGTGACTGATGGCATAACGGACATGTTGAATCACTATGTTGTACACCTGAAACTAATGTATCACTGAGTGTCAACTGTACTTTAAAAAAAAAAAAGGGAAAAGGAAAACAGGCTTAATACTTTAAAGTTCTCTGTTGATAAGATAAAAACAGACAGGGAGGCAAACCATAAGAGACTCTTAAATACAGAGAACAAACTGAGGGTTGCTACATGTAGGGGAGGGGTAGGGGGTGGGGAGGTTAAATGGGTGATGGGCATTAAGAGGGCACTTGTTGGGATGAGCACTGGGTGTTGTACGTAAGTGATGAATCACTGGGCTCTATTCCTGAAACCAATATTGCACTGTATGTTTGCTAACTTGGATTTAAATAATATTTTAAAAATAAGTGAAGATAAAAATGAATAAAAATAAAGTTCTCTGTTGCAACAAGCAGGGATGTTTTTCTCTAAAAAATAAACAAATAAATAAATATAATAAAAGTCTGTTTGTGTTCCAATTGGAGGTGTTTTAAAATGTGAAGAGGGTTCGCCCTCTTTGGAAATAAGAAGCAGCTTTTCCAGCTGGGACCCTGCTAGTGTGGTTACTAAGGAGACCAATTGGCTGTAGGTGCTGTAATTAATCAGTAAACTCTGAGCAGCCAAAAACCTGATGGTGAGAGGCTCTTTACGTTGAGAGGGGAAAATTGCTGGGTGGGTGGAGGTTCCAGGAGTTCACTGTGGGAGCCTAGCTATGGCTGCCTTCTTCCCCTTATACTCTCTTTACTGAAATTTTCTGGTGGCTGTTTTAAAAGCTTCCAACGGCTGCCTCAAAACTTACCCATCTGAAGAGAATGGAGTCTAATTCTTGCAGCCCCTTTGGCTCGGGTGTCTCTATTGCAAGAGGATGGCAAGATGGTACAAGCAGAAGTGAACGGCCATTGCCTCGTAATCGCTAGAGATAGGCTGTGTGACCTTTCCTCACCAATGATTTTAATAAATGTACCCTGTCAGAAAAGCAGAGGACAGCGTGCTCTTCAATGACCAGTTATCACACCTAAGGGAAGGCTATGGACCGGAAGGTGCCATGATTCAGGGGCAAAGTGCCCAGGAGAAAGCCTTTATGTGATTGTGAGTATACCCAATTTGCACCCTTTCTAATCTTCTCTGGCTTTTGGTTCTGATACCCCCCACAGAACAATGGTTGTAAAGTCCTGTCCTAGATTCATTCCTGCCCTTCCCCTCCGTGCATTATAGGAGACGACCCTATCAGAATATGTAGCTTCCTTCAACCCAAAGAGAACTTCTGGGTCATTTGGCTCAGCTCTTTCATTTGGTATGAGGCGAGAAGAGTTCAAAGAAGCTGTGACTTCTTACTGTTGTGCTTTCTTTCCCTCAACTGCATGGGAAGAAAAGCACTTGGCTACCAAACACCCTGGGAATGACTAGGTGCTCAAAGGCAGGTATATCATCCAAGATGATTTTCTTACTGTATGTGACAGAAAATCCAAATAAGTGGCTTAAACAAAACATGGTAGATTAGAGTTATCAATGGCTCCAGTGAATAGCCTCTGTAGAGCCACCCCCTTCGCCCTATGCCTTTGTAGTTTCCACCCAACCTGGCTCTGGACTGGCCTTGAGTCACTGCCTTGAGCCAGTAAATGCAGCAAAAGCAGTGGAGTGCCAGCTCTGAGCTTAGGTCTCAAGTGATACTACGTGCATCTGCTGGTTTCCTTGCTTGATTATACTTGCTTGGGCTTGCACCTCAGCCTTGCTATGAGACTATGCCAGACCAGCCTGTTGAAGGGATCCGAAAGACACATGAAGGAAAAGACAAATGGAGGAGAACCAAGGTGCCCCCGGTTAACAGCAGCCAACTTCCTGAAGCCAACACACAACTGACTGCAGATTCATGAGGAAGCCAAACTGAGATCAAAAGAATCACCCTGCCGAAAATGGCCAGTTTGCAGTATCACGAGCCACATAAAGGATTTGTTTGAGCCTCTCACTTTGGTGTGGCTTGTTATGCAGCAATAGCTAACTGAACTCTGACTGATACTTAAAATAAAAATCTCAGGTTTTTCTCTTGAAAAAAAAAAAAAAGTTGAGGTTGGAAATCCAGGATGGATATGGCACCTCCATAGTCATCAGGGACCCAGAATTCTTCTGTCTTTATGCGTCACCATCTTTAGTTCATGGCTTTCATCCTCAAAGTTGTCTCATGACCCAAGATAGCTACTAGAGTTCCAGCCATCACATTTGTGTTCCAGGCAGAAAGGAAGGAGAGCAAAGAAGACGTTTTGTCTAGTTGAATTGGCTCCCTTTAAAAGAGATTTCCTGGAAGCCCCACCCAATGACTAGCAGCTTGATTCTCATTGGCTACCTTTAGCTTTGAAGAAGGCTAGGTAGCAGAGCACATTGCCACCTAGAATACAATCAAGGTTACTGTTTAGTAAGAAAGAACAGAGGAATGAGTATCAGGAAGGCAACCAGGAATATCTGTCCCATGCCTACATTCCAACATACATCAGGATGGAAAACTGACCACATATCATGCTAATTGTTCAGAGTTCAGAGTGGTGGCTTTGACCTGTAATAACAACAAAGTGTAAGTTTCAGGCACTAGAGATCTAAAATCAGGGTATGTTGGTCTCCTGGACCCTTTTGCTATGAATACAGATGGAAGGGAAGTTGTCTTCTTAGAACTTGTTGATCTTAACTTGGCGCAGGTGCTTCCTTGCTTGCTTTCTATTTTTTTTATTGAGATGTAATTTACATAACATGAAATTCACTGTTTTAAAGGACATAATTCCGTGGTTTTCAGTATATCCACAATGTTGTGCAACCATCAGCACTATCTAATTCCAGAACGTTTCAATCACCCACCCCCTAAAAAAAAACCATGCCATTAGCAGTCAAAGCAGATGCTTTCTTTCATCCTTCCCCACCGTTCTTAGGTCCATGAGAGAGCCAGATTTGCCACATGAGAGGGTGCTTGAACTTCTTAAATGACATAGCCTCATGTCTTGGGATTCTGGAATATTTTTGCATCTTCTCAGGAGAGCCAAGGAGGAAGTCATGGTGCAATTCGCCTAGGGCCAAAGAAAG